TCCCTGGACCCCGCAGTGTTAGCAAACTATCGTCCGGTCTCCAACCTTTGCTTTGTGGTGAAGGTTGTTGAGAGTGTAGTTGCGCGACAGCTTCCCCAGCACCTGGATGAAACGGTTTATCTGGATCCGTTCCAGTCGGGCTTCAGGCCTGGGTACAGCACAGAAACAGCATTGGTCGCATTGGTTGATGATCTCTGGAGGGCTCGGGACAGGGATTGCTCCTCTGTCCTGGTCCTGTTAGACCTCTCAGAGGCTTTTGATACCATCGACCATGGTATCATGCTGCACTGGTTGGAAGAGTTGGGGGGTGGGGGACACTATGTTGCAGTGGTTCTCCTCCTTTCTCTCCGACCAGTCGCAGTCTGTGTTGGCAGGGGGGGCAGAGGTCGACCCCGAGGCGCCTTATATGTGGGGTGCCACAGGGATCGGTCCTCTCGCGCCTTCTGTTCAACATTTATGTGAAGCCACTGGGTGAGATCATCTGTGGTTTCGAGGTGAAGTACCATCAGTACACTGACGACACTCAGCTGTACATCTCCACCCCGGACCACCCCAATGATGCCCTTGAAGTGATGTCCTGGTGCCTGGAGGCTGTATGGATCTGGATGGGGAGAAACAGACTCAGGCTCAATCCATCCAAGACCGAGTGGCTGTGGTTTCCGGTGTCCCGATATAGTCAGTTGGTGGCACCACTGACTATTGGGGGCGAGTCGTTGGCCCCCACGGAGAGGGCTCGCAACTTGGGTGTCCTCCTGGATTCATGGCTGTCTTTAGAAGAGCATTTGACGGCTGTGGCTGGGAGAACTTTTTATCAGGTTCACCTAATCTGCCAGTTGCGTCCCTTTCTAGATCGGGACTCCTTACGCACGGTCACTCATCTCTTTGTCACTTCCCGCCTGGACTACTGTAATGCTCTCTACATGGGGCTCCCCTTGAGGAGCACCCGGAGACTCCAACTGGTGCAGAGTGCGGCCACGCGGGTGGTTATGGGAGCGATGTGGCGTTCCCATGTAACACCTCTCCTGCGCGAGCTGCACTGGCTCCCGGTGGTCTTCCGCGAGCGCTTCAAGGTTTTGGTTACCACTTTTAGAGCGCTCCATGGCTTAGGACCTGGATACTTACAGGACCGCCTGCTGCCACCAATAGCCTCTCACCAGCCAGTATGCTCTCATAAAGAGGGGCTCCTCAGGGTGCCATCGGCCAAACAGTGTCGGCTGGTGGCCCCCAGGGGAAAGCCTTCTCTGTGGGGGCACCTGCTATCTGGAATGAGCTCCCCCCGGAGATACATAGGATCCCAGATCTACGCACCTTCCGCCGCGCCCTCAAGACCTTTCTATTTCAACAGGCTGGCCTGGCCTAACTTTTTCCCTTTTTAAATTGTATATTTTAAATTTGTCTTAATCATGGGGGGGGGGGGTTTAATTTATCCCGGGCCAAATTATTTAATGTGGTTTTATACTGTCTTTTAAATTTCGTAATCTATGTGTTTTAGTTTTTGGCTGTTCACCGCCCTGAATCCTTCGGGAGTAGGGCGGTATATAAATCTAATAAAATCAAAAAATTAAAATCAAAATCAAAGTCAATGGGGAAGTCAGATTCACTTAACAACTGGATTACTAACTTACTGACTGCAGTGATTCACTTAACAACTGTGACAAGAAAGGTCATAAAACGGGGCAAAACTCACTTCACAAATATCTCACTTAACAACAGAAATTTTGGGCTCAATTTGGTCGTAAGTCAAGGACTACCTATAGATATAGGTGCAGACTGGGAGGCACAGAGATACACCTGGGGATAATCATTTTAAAATTAGTGTTAAACCCTGGGCATGCTTATTCTTTTACTCAAAGGTGGGAAACACACAATCTTCCACATATTGCTGAACCACAACTTCCAGCTTCACATGCTATAGGCTGTGCTGATTGGAGTTATTGGGAGTAGTACTTCCTCAATATCTGATCCACCATAGATTCCCCACCCTGTTCCTGAATTGTTAACCTACTGCCTGTTGATCATTTCCAGGGATGAGTGAGATCAAAACCAAGACCCTTTTCATGCAAAGTCGATGTTTTGCCATTGAACAATGGCCTGTTCCTGCCAAAAAAGGGAGGTCTTCTCATCTTCTGAGAGCCCAATTTCAGAACCTCCAGTCCAGTGGTGAAATTCAAATTTTTTGACTACTGGCTCGGTGGGTGTGGCTTGGTGGGTGTGGCAGGGGAAGGATACTGCAAAATCCCCATTCCCTTCCCACTCCTGGGGGAAGGATATTGCAAAATTGCCATTCCTCCCCACTCTCGGGCCAGCCAGAACTGGTATTTGCCAGTTCTCCAAACTACTCAAAATTTCCACTACCGATTCTCCAGAACCTGCTGGATTTCATCCCTGCTTCAGCCGTGAAGGAGACACTTACTTACTAACATCAGGCAAGGATCCTCCATCTCGATCCGCTGGATTTGAGCTCTTAGAAAGAGAGGGAAATTTATGCCCTCAGCTTGGGATGGAACAGAGAAGAACCGTTCGGGAATCCAAGTGGCAGCCTGTGCTAATTCTTCTGTGAATCCCAAGTTGCCAAGAATGGTCTCAGCATCAATCTGATAGAGGTCCAGCACTTCTGAAATGCTAAAAGGGAGATGATGGCAAGACGCTAAATTCAGGGAATGATTAATCATTTATTATTATTGTAGTAGTAGTAGTTGTTGTTATTATTATTTCAGTGTCTATAGTTTATCTCCACAACAAGAACCCCCAGAAGTTATTTCATCTGGAAGTGCATGACTTTCCCAAAGTCACTAAGTAAGCTTCCACGGCTGAGATTGGACTTGAATCAGATTCTTCCCAGTCCTATGCCAACACCTCAACCACTATACTAGATTGGTGGTCTTATACAAGCTTTATTTCTCCCAATTGTATTCTTACAATAGGTCCTGAGATATGCTTGTCAAAGACGAAGGGATGGAATGTAGTGAGGAGGCGGATTCCAGGGTGGGAAGGGGGTGCTTTTCAGGGGAATAAGATAACTCAGTCCAATATTTGGTGTGAGAGAAAGAGGGTGAAGACAGACCCTCCCTAATAGTTCTCAGAGTATATGGTAAATGCACATAGTAGAATGCTTTGTCTGACAAGAGTCAGTTGATAAGTGTGGACACAATAAAGAACTCAGCTTGAAAGAATGAAATGGTGATTTTGGGGCCTGTCATCAATCTAGCCAGACTAAGCACTCTACTATCTGCTTCTACCATTTACTTTGATACTATTAGGGGCTGTCTTCACCCACTTTCTCTCACACCAAATATCTGGACTGTCTCTTAATTCTCCTGAAATGCAGGCCCATCCTTCTCGGGATCCATCTCCTCACAAAATGTCTATAGAGATTTTCAGTCATCCAGGTCATGGTTGTCCCAAAAGTGCTTTTTTCAAGAGGGAACTGGATTTTTTTTGTTTTTCTTTAAAGACTTTTCGCTTCTCATCCAAGAAGCTTCTTCAGCTCTGACTGGATGGTGAGGAATAGAAGGATTTATATTCCTTGCAGACAGCTGGTCATTTGCATTATTTTTAGAGAGTTGTTGAGGCCACCTGGAGGTTTATCTGTGTCATCAGAGTCACCTGAGTAGTGCAAATGGACAGAAGGAGAGGGATACGACATCATCTATCTCCAATCTACTACACAGTCCTTTCAACAGCTCCAAGAAGGCTCCACACCCATTTGCAGGTGACCCTGAGGACACAAATAACTTCCAGGTGGCCTCAATGACTCTAAAAGAATGCAAATGACCCAAGGAGTATAAATCCTTCCATTCCACACCAGCTGAAGAAGCTTCTTGGATGAGAAGTGAAACATCTTCAAAGAAAAAAAAACCAGAAAGTCCAGTTGCCTCTTGAAAAAGCATCTTTGGGACACTTCCTCACTACATTCTATCACAGAAGGATCCATAAGGTCTTGACTGCATCCTTGGCCAGTAGTCTCCACTTATATATGGTAAAAGATTTTTATCCTTTTATTCAGGCTAAGCCCTCCACAAACAAGCTTCAGGCTTACCTGGAGCTGGTCTTGTTAGTGCTGTCTGCCATGTCATCGGAAGCCATGTTGTGATCTAGACAGAGATCCCAGGTTTGGAAGGCCAGGCAGCAGCTTTGGAGACAGTGAAGAGAAACCCTGGATCATCTGGCCTGTAGGAAACATTTGCTGAAGAAGGCAGATGGACAGGCTTGTAGTTATGCCAATAGCCACATTTCAAAAATAAGCATTATCCGGGGGGAGGGGGATGAGTTAAAAGAGAATAGTGGGTGGAGTCAAAGTAATCATCCTCATTTTCATCAAACACACTAAATACCTGAAAAAATAAAATAAGTACAGTACTAAGGGTACAATTACCAAATCTGGCCTGCAATAATGCAGATAACCATTGGATGGCAGCAGAGAGACACTGAAAATGATCATTCTTTGCTTCTTTCTGGTTGTCTGGATTCCTGTTCTAATAGCTCTAACTAAGGGCAACTTCGAGAATAATAGTTTCCTTTCTGAGGGTGATTAATATCTCAGTTTGAGGACATAGTCAAATGCACAAAGTTCTGAATGGCCAACAATGACATCAATTAACTCAGTTAATTTAGTAACATTAGCACAATTTCCAAAACTAAGGTAAATTATTATATTATGATTCCATATACCTAATCATAATTATTTTTTCCACTTCAGTGGGATTCATTCACACCCATAAAGAGCATAGAGCAGCATTCCTCAGAAACTGTCAAGAGTTGGCAAGCTTAATAAATTAAGAGTAGCAGCACTGAAATTATATTTCCATTTTGTCAGCAAATATGGGTTCTATCATTCAAAATTAGGGAACTGAAATCCAGTGTATGTTAAGGATATTGGAGTCGTGATACATAACTGGGATAAAGCTACAATCTATATTTGCAGAAAAACACCATTTAATTTAACAGGATTTTCTTTGCAGTAGATTTGCATAAAAGTTTGCTTGATTTCTATTTCTTACCTGGATTCTACTCTGGTTTTCTCCAGAAGCAGCATTGCTGGAAAGAGGATAAGAAAGAGGTTTTTGTCATTAAGGAAGCCAAACAACACCAAGCATCTTCTATAAAGAGCAGAGATTCTATGGATCTTGTTCCATCACATTGATTAATTTAATTTTCGTATCAATTAATTTTGTCCTAGTCAGATTCCCTTTCCATTTTGGAAAATAACCTTACATTTAAAGTACACTGCCCATCATCTGAGCATCCAACAGCAAAATAAGGTTGAGATTTAAATAATAAATTGAAAACTTTGAACACAAGGGTCCTTAACCCCTGGTACTGGCCCTTCGCCTGTTAAGAATTGCGCCAAATCCATTCTAAAACCTGGCTTACTGCATGACCCACCATAATAATCCATCTCAGCTTGGCTAAGGCAAGGTTTTCATGGTTCTGAATGGAAAAGGTGACATTATGCTGTGAAGCAAGTTCTGAACATTCATGGTGCTTGGTTATTACCTTTAAAGCCCTACATGGTTTGGGGCTAGGTTATTTGAAGGGCTGCCTACCCCCAATTACATCTACTCAGCACTCCAGAGGAGGAAAGAAAGGTATGTTGCAGGATCCAACTATCAAGGAAGTACTTCTGGTGGGACATAGAAAAAAAGCCCTTCTCTGTGGTGGCTCCCTCCCTTTGGAACATCATTCCCCCAGAGATAAGATTGCCCTCCCATCTTGTTGCTTTTCCTCAAGACCTTAAAGACATGTTTTTTTTCAGTGGGCTTGTGGACCCCACTTGGTACCTGCCAGTGGATTGTCTGATTGTGTTTTCTCAATATTTAATGCTGTATTCCACCTGGAGTCATTGGGTGTGAGTTGAGTGGCTATATAAATATGAGAGAGAGGGAGGGGAAGGAGGGAGAGGGGGAGAGAGAGAGAGAAACAGGAAGGAAGGAAGGAAGGAAGGAAGGAAGGAAGGAAGGAAAGAAAGAAAGAAAGAAAGAAAGAAAGAAAGAAAGAAAGAAAGAAAGATGGTAGGTCATGGATATAGATGTAGGTAGATAGATATAGATATAGAAGGTAGGAAGAAAGAAAGAAAGGAAGGAAGGAAGGAAGGAAGGAAGGAAGAAAGAAAGAAAGAAAGAAAGAAAGAAAGAAAGAAAGAAAGAAAGAAAGAAAGAAAGAAAGAAAGAAAGAAGAGAAGGAAAGAAAGATGGTAGGTCATGGATATAGATGTAGGTAGATAGATATAGATGTAGAAGGTAGGTAGGTAGGTAGGTAGGAAGAAAGAAAGAAAGAAAAAAAGAAAGAAAGAAAGAAAGAAAGAAAGAAAGAAAGAAAGAAAGAGAAAGAAAGAAAGAAAGAAAGAAAGAAAGAAAGAAAGAAAAAGAAAGAAAGAAAGAAAGAAAGAAAGAAAGAAAAAGAAAGAAAGAAAGAAAGAAAGATGGTAGGTCATGGATATAGATGTAGGTAGATAGATATAGATGTAGAAGGTAGGTAGGTAGGTAGGTAGGTAGGTAGGTAGGTAGGTAGGTAGGTAGGAAGAAAGAAAGAAAGAAAGAAAGAAAGAAAGAAAGAAAGAAAGAAAGAAAGAAAGAAAGAAAGAAAAAGAAAGAAAGAAAGAAAGGAAGGAAGGAAGGAAGGAAGGAAGGAAGGAAGGAAGGAAGGAAGGAAGGAAGGAAGAAAGAAAGAAAGAAAGAAGAGAAAGAAGAGAAGGAAAGAAAGATGGTAGGTCATGGATATAGATGTAGGTAGATAGATATAGATGTAGAAGGTAGGTAGGTAGGTAGGAAGAAAGAAAGAAAGAAAAAAAGAAAGAAAGAAAGAAAGAAAGAAAGAAAGAAAGAAAGAAAGAAAGAAAGAGAAAGAAAGAAAGAAAGAAAGAAAGAAAGAAAGAAAGAAAGAAAGAAAGAAAGAAAGAAAGAAAGAAAAAGAAAGAAAGAAAGAAAGATGAGAGAGAGAAAATAATATTGCCTGGGGAAATCTGTGACCAACTTTTTGCTTAGCCATTTCGCTTCTTCTGCCACAAAATTTTATGGCAATCCTAACACACAATCACAGGAGCCGCTATTTTCTAGTTTAAAGCACACCAGGTTGGACCATCCTTCCCTGGGGGGAGGGGAGGCAAAATAGGGTAAAGGAAACAGTGACAGCAAGCTAATAGCTATTTGGAAACACTTTTGGATCAGTCTATCTCGCTATATCATACGCACGACTGCACCTCCATGACTGCAAAAATAACCAACGCCATATTCATTTCTATGCTTGCAAATGAGAAGTGTACCCATTTTGGCTCAGTTAGCAGTGATAATAATTGGGCAGACTGTTCTCAGCTAATGTCCAAAATCCAGAAGAATCCAAACCCCTCCGGCACCTGTTCTAGGACCTGCTGTTTTTCAGTCTGAGCAAACATTTGCTAGGAAAGTTCTTGACTGCTCTTCACAGCCCAGCTGCTTTCTTACCAGTATTTCTGAATAAGATAGTAAAACTTTCTTGGAGTTCAGCTAGACCATATAAACGTATACATGGAGATGAAGCGTTTTTGCCTGGATCCCAAGGGAAGCAAAGTGGCTATGAATGCACACACATATAAAGCTAGTCAGGGATAGCTCTTGAAGTAACAGAGAAAGCTTGCAAAACCAGCTACTACACCGTTGTCCAATGCTTTTTTATCCTAGTTAAATTGCATGCTTGTTTTCTTTTCAGTTATACAATGGCTCCCTCCAGTGGACAAAGCATGGATTAGCTGCTTTTGTGAAAAAGCTGAAAGTAAGTTACCTGTGTATTGACTTCACATTCAGGGCAATATTTGGGAAAAATTAAAATAAGTATTTTTTTATTATTATTATTATTTTAATTAGATTTATATGCCGCCCTTCTCCGGAGACTCAGGGCGGCTTACAATCCGTTAAGCAATAGCCTTCATACTTTTGTATATTTTTACAAAGTCAGCTTATTGCCCCCACAAACTGGGTCCTCATTTTACCTACCTTAGAAAGGATGGAAGGCTGAGTCAACCTTGAGCCTGGTGAGATTCGAACTTACAGTAATTACAGACAGCTCAATATTAATAACAGGCTTTTAGTCTGTTGAGCTATCCAGGATTTGAGAGAAGAATGCATATAAAAGGCACATTTTTAGGAAGAGAGTATATGCAAATCACCCTACAAAATAGCATGGCTCTCTGTGTACTCTAAAACACGCACCAGCACATTCTTAAGAAGTAATTCTGAAGACCGGGGTCAATGGCATAGATGACAAATAAGTTTATTTAGAACTGCAACCAACAATTGGCCCTTGGTCACAGTGTGCAACCATAAGGCTCAAACTTACAGATGAATATATTGTGTGGGGCAGAGGTGGGTTTCAGCAGGTTCTGACCAGTTGTGGAGAACCGGTAGCGGAAATTTTGAGTAGTTCGGAGAACCGGTGGTAAAAATTCTGACTGGTCCCACCCTCATCTATTCTCTGCCTCCCGAGTCCCAGCTGATCAGGAGGAAATAGGGATTTTGCAGTAACCTTCCCCTGGAGTGGGGAGGGAATGGAGATTTTACAGTATCCTTCCCCTGCCACGCCCACCAAGCCATGCCATGCCACGCCCACCAAGTCACACCCACAGAACCGGTAGTAAAAAAATTTGAAACCCACCACTGGTGTGGGGCGCCTGTAACTTCGGTGATTATGTAAACCAGTGGTTCTCAACCTGTGGGTCACGACCCCTTTGGGGTCGAATGACCCTTTCACAGGGATCGCCTAAGACCATCGGAAAACACATATTTTCAATGATTTTAGGAATAATTTTATGGTTGGGGGTCACCATAACATGAGGAACTGTATTAAAGGGTCGCGGCATTAAGGAGGTTGAGAACCACTGATTTAAATACATCATTATAGAAAATAAAATGATAGATACAGCCAGTGCAGATATCTAAGCAGTTATCTAGGATAAAATGTGGTAAAGGGGTCAACTATGGATTCAATTGGTTCTGATAAAAACATCTGGGTTAAAATGGAAACATCAGAATGACTCAAATCAAATTTCAGCCAAGTTGATTTAGATACCAATAATGATGGCCCTGGTGGCACAGTGGTTAGAATGCAATACTGCAGGCTAATTCTGCTGACTGCTGGCTGCCAGCAGTTTGGCAGTTCGATCCTGACCGGCTCAAGGTTAACTCAGCATTGCATCCTTTCCGAGGTCAGTTAAATGAGGACCCAGATTATTGGGGGCAATAGTCTGACTCTGTAAACCACTTAGAGAGGGCTGTGAAAGCACTGTAAAGCTATATATAAGTCTGAGTGCTATTGCTGTTTCCTGATCAGCCCAGCTTTGAGACTCTCAATATCCCACCTGTGCAGGAATTTAAACAGAGCTAAAATATATTGATCAATTGGTTGTAGGAGAAAGAGTGGCAGAACCTGCGGACTGAGTTAAAAGAGGGATCGGTCTAAAATCCCTACATAGTCTCAAGCGAACTAAATCCAACCTCCCTCGAATTCCATTTACTCTTATCTAACTCTAAGCAGGTGCTAATATATTAGTTGAAAAGATCCTGTGCCTGAGTATAGCAATAAATCAGTTTAATTGGAGTAGCAATTAATCAGTTTAATTAAACTGGTTGGACCTGATCTTTCACCTTGACTTTGGTTGGTTTTATAAGAGTTTCTATACCCTTAAATCTTCTTCTTCTTTGTATGACTGCAGATCAACTTACTACTTTTTACCTTGTCTTCCAATTATTTCTCTCATGTATTTCGTATGTTTTCTTACTCTTTACTTGTTGCCCATTCCATCCTTGTTCTTCCTGACTTTTTTCTTTCCATCCCCTTCAATTTATCCCCCTCCTCTCCTGTACCCAGCCAGCACTTTCCTCCCTGAGCCTGTCTCCTCTGTTGCCTGCCTGCTGTCTTGCTATTCTTTCTATCATCATCACTAGTTATGAAAGCTAGTCTTCCTCCCTCTTTCCCTTAATTTGGATCTCCAATTTAGGATCCAATTCTTCCCCAGTTCAGGACTTAGCCTTCACCTTTTCCTCCTGTCTCCTGAGATGTCATGGATC